ACCCAGGTGTGACATCCAGGGTGTGATATCCAGGTGTGACATCCAGGTGTGACATCCAGGCTGCCCAGGTGTGACATCCAGGTGTGACATCCAGGTGTGGCACCCGGGATGCCCAGGTGTGACACCCAGGCTGCCCACGTGTGACATCCAGGTGTGACACCCAGGCTGCCCAGGTGTGACATCCAGGTGTGACATCCAGGTGTGGCACCCGGGATGCCCAGGTGTGACATCCAGGTGTGACATCCAGGCTGCTCAGTGTGACATCCAGATGTGACACCCAGGTGTGACACCCAGGCTGCCCAGGTATGACACCCAGGTGTGATATCCAGATGTGACACCCAGGCTGCCCAGGTGTGACACCCACGTGTGACATCCAGGCTGCTCAGGTGTCCTTCCCTGGGCGCTGCCATTGCACGCTCATCCTTTCCCTTGCACGCTCATCCTTTCCCTTGCACTCCCAACCATCACAACATTCCAGATAGGTTTGTGCAATGAGGATCAATTCTATATTTTCTCCCAGGAAATCAGGAGAACCAGGTGATGACTGTGGTGGTGGTGGGGTTTTTCACACCTGCCCTGCTTACCTGGGGAATTTGAAGCTGTGGCTGCAGCAGGAAGGAAGAAGAGCCTCTTCCTCCAGCACAGCAGCAGCTCAGCTCCCTCTCATATCTCCTCCAAAAGCCCCAAAGCTGCTTCCCTTTGAGCAGAACCCCATTTCCTGGGCAGGGCCTCAGCCTGGGGAGGCTGAGCCTCAGCTCGCTGCGGACATGGATAAATGCAGAGTGAACGGAACAGAAATGGGTGGTGGCTGGGAGGGAGCCAGCAGAGCCTCAACACCGTTTGTGTTTTAATTTCTTGCTTGGGAATGAACAAACACCATTTAATAACCAAATTTTCAGCTCTCATTTGGTGTTTCTTCGTGGTGCCCTGTCTTGTGTCTGCCTGGAGAGGGGTTGTGGTTCTCAGGGTGGGTTTTGAGTTCTCTGGGAGAATTCAGCACCCCAGATGTCACAGAGTGTTTTATTTATGGAAGGGGGTTAATGATTGACCAGGTTTATGTCAGAGGAGTGAATGGTTCCAGAGTTTGCAGCCCTTTTGTCCTGGTGCTCTTCCTGTGGCTGTAATTTATGATATTCCATAAGGAAGTCCATGTTTGTGTCCAGATCTCACCATTTCCATTTCCTGTAGATCAGCAGAAAAGGAATAGGCTGACAGAAAACTCCCATAGCAATTCTTTTGTGTCTGTGTCAGTGGATCGGTACCAAATTTGGACTCTGCATGACCAGAAAAGAGGTTTTATTCAGTAATTTCATTTCACCTGTGCCGTGTGTCACAGGCACACTCGTTCCCAAGGCTGGCTGTGCCAATTTGGTTGTGACAGTTTGGTTGCAGTATTCAAATCATCACATCCATGAGGTGACTCCACCTGCACCCATGCCTGCACGTGAGGTTTTTCCCAGGAGGACAATTTCTGTGTTTTGCTGGAGCTTTATTTCAGGTAATTGTGGTTTGGTTCACACCTGCATGGATGGTGCTTCAGAAAAACTCAGATTTTTCTTCTTCTCCAAACCTTTCAGTCCCTGCTGCCAAGTTCCACTTCAGTGGGGCAGGTCTCAAAATTGAGACTTTACATTTTCAAATCCTGTGCAGGTGTTTGACACTGTCAATCTATGAGTCAGAATAATGGTTGGTCCATTTTTTTCTGTTATAACAAATTAAAAATTCAGATGGAATTGGAAATTCAGCACTAGGAAGACAGAGAGGGAGTGCCAGGCAGTCCCAGGAATCTATCAGCTTTATTATATTTATTGCTTGAATTTTTCTTCTTGGAACTTCCCTGCTTTTGCCAAATAGCATTAGGCTTTATTTTTTTATTGGCTTATGCTGAGAGAATCCTTTTTACAACAATAATATCAATCATGTACACCACGTGGCAATTGAGGTTGCAGGTGGTGTTGTGGCCTGAGTTGGCTTCTTGTTTCCCAGTAGGATCTCACCTTGCCTTCAGATTTCCAAATCAAGCCTGGGAAACCATATTGCTTCCATTCCAGTGTGGACGAGTTTGTTTTATTGGTGGGATATTAGTGTGGAACAAGTAATTAGAGAGAATTCTCTGCTTCCCAGCATGTGAAACAGAATGGGGTGCTGGTACTACTTAAAGTTCTGGTGTTTGTTCATAATGAGCTTACATTATTTGTATATGTTGTATTCCTTATTAATTCCACCAATTTTCTGTGGCAAATGTTTCATTATATGTAATGTGTAACCACCAATGCGAAGAGTACAATTAAATCTTGTGGAGAAATTAATCACAGAATAACAAGCTCTGAACAAACCTGTGGGCTGGCTTGTAAGGAGAAATCCGTCCCCTTTGTGTGTACCTGTGCTGTCCTGCAGTGTCCGTGCCCTGGGTGCCTCCCAAATGGACACTGCCAGAGCCCAAAGGGTCACCTTGGCCTGGGGGCCACCAGGGCCAGTGTCCCTGGCCAGCGAGGATGGCGATGGTCACACTCTGCTCTGGGCTGGAGTGGCCTCACTGCAGTGTCTCAAAACCATCGGAAGGTGCTGGAGAGGGTCCAGAGCAGGGTGGGGAGGGTCTGAGGAGGGCTCTGGGTCTGTTCAGCTGGACAAGGGGAGGCTCCTTGGGGGCTGCAGCTCCATCCCGAGGGGCAGCTCCTGTCTCTGCTCCCTGTGAGCAGGCACAGGACACCAGGGAAGCACTGCAGCTCTGCCAGGGCAGGGAAATGAGGAGAGGATTCCTCTGCCAGAGGGTGCTGGGCAAGGCATGGGCACAGCCCCGAGGCTGCCAGAGCTGCAGGAGGGTTTGGACAATGCTGTCAGGCCCAGGGTGGCATTGCTGGGGTCTGTGCAGGGCCAGGAGCTGCCCTGGATGATCCTTGGGGTCCCTCCCAGCTCAGGACACTCCACAATTGCCTGAAAACTGCCTCTGCAAGTGGAGGCCAAGCTGGTGGGTGTTGAGGCCCCTGCAGTCTCTCAGCGCACGGGAGCTCAGCTGGACGTGTCCCTCTCCCTGCGTGTCCCTGAGTGTCACCTGAGCTCTGCGCTGCAGCCAGGCCCTGAGTTACTGCTTTGCTTGGCATTTCAGTGCATCGTGGACATTCTCCCTTTCAGCTGCTGGATTTGTTTGGGCTTGTTGGGCCCTGACTCAAACACAGTGTTGGAGGAGTGAGATAAAATTCTGTGTGCAGATGCACACCCTGCCCCGAGCAGCACGAGTCAGAGAAGGATGGAATCATGGAATGGTTTGGGTTGGAAAAGCTCCTCCTGTTCCACCCCTGCCTTGGCAGGGACACTTTCCACTATCCCAGGTTGCTCCAAGCCCTGCCAGCCTGGCCTTGGACACTGGCAGAGATTGGCATCCCCAGCTTCTCTGGGCACCCTGTGCCTCAGCACCCTCACAGGGAGGAGTTTCTCCACAATATCTTATCCAAACCTCTGTCAGTCTGCAGGCACTGAGTCCCACCCCAGCTCTGAAGTCCTGGTCTCAGAGTCTGAAGTGCCACTGGCATTTGAGGAGTGGAGTCCATTCCCTTTCCAGGCATTCCACAAATCACCTTTGGAACCCAACTGGGCACTGGGCTGGAGTGTTTTAGCAGACACTGGTGGTGTTGGGAGGCTTAGAGGCTGAGGCCTGTAATCCCCTTTAGTGCTGTGGAGGGGCCTGGCAGGAGGATCCTGTTCAGGGCAAACCCCACAGCCAGAGCTGCTCTGGGGCTGGGGCTGCTCCCTCTCCTTTTGGGCTCACAGCAAAGAAAACATCCTGTTTGTGCTCACTCTCTTCTTGTCATCGTGTAACTGTGGCTTGATTTTAGCTTGATAGCAAATAATTCTGTTTTCTTAGTGCTGTGTGTTTGATGGCTCCCCGTTTCTGGGAGATGGGAGGTTGTGAGTGTGGCAGGCTCTGTGAAGAGGCTTGAAACGCTGCAGGGCTGTTTGTTTTAATCCCTCCAAGGTTCCAGTCTTTCTTGTGGTTCTGATGTAATGTGAGAAATTAAAACAAAAGACAGCAGCCAGATGGTGCATCTCCAGGATCAGACAGATTAGTTTTTTAAAAGAGGGAAAAGTTTACAAATGCTCGTTCTGGTCTCCAGAGTAATCACTCTAATAATAATCACTCCAGAGGGGATTCTCCCCCTCTGCTCAGCCCACCTGGAGCTTTCTGCCCAGTTCTGGGGCCCCCACCACAAGAAGGATGTGGAGCTGTTGGAGCAGGTCCAGAGGAGGCCACGAGGTTGATGAAAAGGGACTGGAGCACCTCCCTCATGGAGACAGCTGGGAGAGTTGGGAACGTTCAGCGTGGAGAAGAGAAGGTGGTGTGGAGACTTCAGAGCTCCTTCCCGTGTCTGAAAGGGCTACAGGGAGGCTGGAAAAGGAGAATTCACCAGAAACTGCAGTGACAGCACAGGGGGGAATGGGTTCACACTGAAAGAGGGGAAGTTTAATTGACATATGTGGAAGAAATTCCTCCCTGTGAGGGTGGTGGTTCCCTGGCACTGGATCATGTCCACCCTTGCCTCAGTTTGTGGAGATCCCCTCAGCAGCTGCTGCAGTGGACTCACTTTGTTTGCTCTTTGATTAGTTGAAGGTGAGGCTGTGAGTTTGCACTTCCCCTTCACCCTTTGGGTTGGGAATTATCCCACTTTGTTCACATAAGTTGTTTTTTGTGGTTACAGAATATTTTCATGCGCTCCCAGTTTCCCTTTTTAGTTTTTCACTGCTTTGATATTCCATTTAGATAGCTGCTGTGATCCAAGTTATTGCATTTAAATAGTGGATAGTGTAGGTCTCTGATCCCAAGGGAAACTGCAGAAGTTCTGTAATATGGAGCTTTGAAATCTTAATGTGCTCGGATTTATTGAGTTTCAGGTTTTCTTCAGCTGTGTTCAGGTGAAACCTTAATGGCAATGAAAAAAAAGCAAGCAGACCTCAAATTGCAAAATTCCAATGTGGTTAAATGAGGTTTCTTTGCTTGTTTTTAGGGGACATCACACAGAAGGGGTATGAGAAGAAGAGAGCAAAGCTGCTGGCTCCGTATGTTCCACAAAGCCAAGGTAGGTCCTTGTTTGGGCTGGAATCACCTCCCACTCCCTTGGCTCCTCAAGGGCTCTGGATCAATCATGGAGGTCCTCAAGAACCATTCTGGAAATATTCTCCAAAATATTTATACTCCAAAATATCTATATCAAGGCTTCTTAATGCCTTGTTGGAGAAACATTAGCATTGTTATAATTTGTTGCTTTATTTTGCCAGAGTAGCTGAAGTCACCTCCTTTAGGTCCAATTTCCTTTGGTTCAGAGATCCAGAGCAGCTCAGCTGGTTGTGTGTGGGATCATTACATTTAATTGTAAACTGAAGGACGTGGCTGAACGTGTGTCTAATCATTATTTTGGGGCTTACGTGGAATAATTGTTACTGATATGCTGAGATGTTCAGCCATTAAAAACTGATGTGTCTGCTTCTGATTTCAGGCAGTGACTGGCTATGACAGAGAGTCCTGAATGGACCTGCTGGAATTTACTGAGCCTGGTCTACTGCCAAAAAAACATTGATAAAGAGTAAAAGCTCAAAGTGCATTTATTGCCCATCAACACCACGGGACTGGGGGAAATGACAGCAGCTCCCTTCAGGCACTTGATAGGGGAAATAAAGTTGTCATGTGGCAACTTCCTGACTCTCCCACCCCAAACCACTGCCCAGTTCCTGCTCTCCAGCTGGTTCTCAGGTTGGATTTGATTATTTATTGATCTTAAGGTGGGGCTTTTTGAGGTTGGGTTTTTTACAGCGTATTCTGTCTCAGCTGAAGGGAGCAAGGCAAGCAAAAATGTAATTTAGCCTTCAAAATGGAGATTTTGTTACAAACAGCTCTCCAAGTGCTGAGGGCTCCCTGGAGCAGGATGTGATGGGAATCTCAGAGTCTTGGTGTCTGCCTATTTACCAAATCTATTTCTGTTACTTAAAGAAACCAAAAACTAATATCCACATGACTAATCCCTCTTGATAAGTAGGTATTTGTTGAGCAGGTTTTACAGTCCTCAGGCTAGCATTTGTGCCAGTGAGATCTCGAGCCTGAGGAGGAAATGGGGAATCCTTGGGTAGTTCAGGAACTCTTGGCAGCCCTGCTTTTGTCCCGAGTTTTCTGGAGTCTGAAGATGATACAATCCTGGCCCCAGCCCTGGCACTGCGCACGTTTGATTTGTCTCAGAAAATGTTTAATTAGGAGGGGGAAAAGTGTTTGGCAAGGCTGGGCTGTGCTCTGTTAATTGTGAGAGCTGCCAGTGGAGCTGAGGTGCAGGCAGAGGGATGAGGGAGGTCACCAATTAACGCAGAGGTTTGATTGCCCTTCCGGCCCAGCTCTGCAGCTCTTTATCCATCTCACACCCAGCTGCCCCAGTGTCTGGGAATCTCCTGTTGTAAAATCCCCGTGGAAGTCATGCGTGAGGGATCCGGAATCAGGTCACCTTGGTAATGAGAAGAAAATTCATTTAGTCCACAACAACAACAAAACAGACAACAACAAAATTCTCAGTGCTGGCATTTTGTGCCATTTCTGTGGGCACTGGGCTGCTCTTGGCTGATGGAGTTTCTCCATTCCATGGATGTGAAATGAGAGGAGGGAGGGGGGTGGCATGTCAGGGCATGTCAGCAGGATCATTTAGGAGATTCTCCATTCACATGGCCTCAGGAGTTAAGGCAGCACTGTTAAGTACCTAAAGATGCATTTTTTTTCCTGGTGCAGTATCCATTAAGGTCCATCTAGCTGCTAACTCCTAAAGTCTCTGCAATCTGCAGATCCCCAAATCTGCAGTCCCTGATTCCAGGCAGTTCTCCATGATGGGGGTCAGCAGCAAGCACAGCAAATGGAGCTGGGCCAGATGTCCCTGGGTTCTGGGTGTGTGTTCAGGCTGCCCTGGGAACCCTGCAGGCTCAGGTTGGTTATTTCCTTGTTTTTATGGGTATGTAGCTTGAAATAAAACATCTCCAAGGAATAGCCAGTCCAGCCCCAGCGCTGCTGCTGCGTTCTGTTTGCAGACAGTGGAGTTGCAGGTTTGCAGCTGCTTCCTTGTGCATGTGGCACTTGTTCTCCTTGTTATTCATGCAAACATTTATCCTTGTTGATCTTCTAATGGTTCAGCCCCTGAATCTCTAAATCGTTGGCCCTTCACCAAAACACAGGGATCACAAAGCAGTCAATTCTCATTAGGAACTAAAGACAGTCAACAAATCCATGGCATCCTTCAAAGCCAATCTAAAAGAATTCATTTTTCATCTCTCTGTCATATTTGTCATGTTTCTGCCAGCAGAAAGTGCAGCTGTAGCAGGATTATTCTGAAGGGAGCTCTAAATAAATCACCTGTCACCTGCCAGGCTTGCCTTGTGCTGCTTTGTTGTGTAACCATCAGTGATTTACACTCTTTCCTCCTCTGTGTCTGAACGCTTTGTGAGGCCACTGGAACACGTTATTATGTCAGAGCAAAATATTGAAACAAAGAGCTTGTTCTCTGTGTGTCATGTCACTTAGAGCCACCTCTGATCCCTTCCTAACTGGAATGTCGTGTTTGCCCTGTGATGCCCCACAGAGAGATGAGAGGCTTTTACAAGACTTACGAAAGAGAACTGAATATGAATTTAATAATTCATTTAAAATACTGTTAAATCTGCTGCTGACATCTAGTGGGTGCCTGACTTTGTAAATACTCAAGTGATCAGAAAACATGAAGCTTTTCTGTTTGGTCTGTGAAGTCTTGGGGGTTTTGGATCAAAATAAAACTGAGCTGGGTTGGTGAAGGCAGATAAATGCTACAAAGATGTTAAACTGGTTATCAAGATGAGGAATTTAAAAATATCTTTCTACAAGAGAGATGCTGAGGGGCTGGGGTGTGGGCACAGAGATGGGGAAGGGGCTGGGGAACTCCTGAGGGAGCTGGGGGGGCTCAGCCTGGAGAAAAGGAGGCTCAGGGGGGAATTTGACCCACACAGGAGGGTGGGTCAGGGGGTGTGGGTTGGACATCAGCAGGAATTTCCCCATGGAAAGGGGGTCAGGAATTGGAGCTGCCCAGGCAGGTTTGGGGTGCCCATCCTGGAGGTGTCCCAGGAAGGGCTGCAGGGGCACCCAGAGCTCTGGGCTGGGGACAGCTGGGGATGGAGCACAGCTGGACTCGATGCTCTCGAGGCTTTTCCAGCCTGAAGAATTGTGTGATCCTGTGCAGATTCCTGCAGCTGGCTCAGGGTGATTTGCTGTCATTGTCAGTCCCTGAGCTCCAAGCATTCACCTGAAGTTGTTTACCCAAAACCACACGCCTCAAAGGCGGTGTGACTGGATTGGAAGCTCAGGATTTGTGGTTTCCTCTCCATTTCTCTGATCCGTTGGTAGTTTGTGAGAATTCCAAAGCAGCACATACAGATGACACAGTTGCTCTTGGTTTTGCGTGACTCCAGGTGACAGCCTGGAGGAAATTACAGCTGAGTAACCTCTGGGTTTTAATTTTCAAAACTTCCCTCTGATACACAGATTCATTTTAGAATTGAACCTCCAGTAGCAACAATTCCGAGTTGCTCTTGCTGAATTATGTAAAATTACACTGTTTATCAGATTGTCTATTTTCCTTCCTGTTTTAACGGGATAAACAAACTTTTCCTGGATGAAAAGCCACGCACTGGACATGCTGAAAGCCAGAACCAGACAACTGGAGATCTCCTTGGGTTTGTGGTTAGTGGGCACAGCAAAGGCTCTTGCTGCTGGTTTATTATTGTTTTTTTTCCAGTCAATAACAAGCTGCTCACTGGGACACTGAGTGACAAACCAGCTTTGTGACATCCACAGCCCTGTCATGGGAGAAGGGAAGAGTGTGGTCCAAAAAAGCTCCTTTTCTTTCCCCCTCCCTGTTTTCCAGGGGTTGATCCAGCAGTACAGAAGGAATCCAAACCTCAGATGCCCGTTCCATCTGCAGCTCCAGCCTCAGCATCATCCTCCTCATCCTCATCCAAATTCCACCGAGCTCGCTCAGGGGGAGCCAGAGATGAACGTTACCGCTCTGGTAAGGGCAGGGACAGGAGTTCCCTGGGTGCACCTTCACTTTTGTTCATTTTTCTTGAGGCCTGAAGGTGCCCTTGCATCACAGGCCCAGAGGGGATGTTTTGCCTCACTAAAACGTGAAGGCAGTTAAGTGCAGTGTACATGGAGCTCAGAGCTGTGCACTGACCCAGCACAGGGTTTGAAAACTGAAAAATCTGCAGTGCTGAGGCGTCCCCTTGGCGCTGTGCTGGTGCTGAGGCGCTTCCCTCTCGCAGACATCCACACCGAGGCGGTGCAGGCGGCGCTGGCCAAGCACAAGGAGCAGAAGATGGCCCTGCCCATGCCCACCAAGCGCCGCTCCACCTTTGTCCAGTCCCCAGCAGACGCCTGCACGCCCCCAGGTGAGGCTCTGTGGCAAATAGCTAAAAACCTTATTTTAAAAAATTAAAGTATTTATTTATTTTAAATTTTTATTTCTTTTTATTTCTTTTAAAATATTTATTTTAACTTATTTTAAAATATTTATTTATTTTTATTTCTTTTAAAATATCAATTTATTTTAATTTATTTTAAATTATTTATTTGAAATTATTTTAAAATATTAATTTATTTTAATTTATTTAAAATTATTTATTTTAAATTATTTTAAAATATCAATTTATTTTTATTCGTTTTAAGTTATTAATTTATTTTTACTGATTTAAAATTATTAATTTATTTTTGCTGATTTAAAATATTTCTATTTTTATTTAAAACATAGATTTTAAATCAAATTTAAATGTCATTTTTATTTAAAATATATATTTATTTGAATGTAATTTGTTATTTATTTCCTTATTATTTTATTAGAAATAAAATATTTATAAAAGAATTATAAATATTATAATTACATTTCTATATAATTATAATATATTTATGAAACCGTAACTTAAGCCGACTATTTCACCTAAGTAAAACTAACAGCAAGGCTGTTAAGTTCCCATGTTAAAAAATTTATAAAAATCAATGTACAGAACAATCTATTCTTGTTAAAAAAAACAGTTTGCACCTATAAAGAAGGAAATTCTACCTGTAAGAATTCCTAAAGAAAATATGTAAATATCTGTGGAAAGAAAAAGCCTTAACACACACACACACATACACCCTCTAACCAATAAATTGAGTAGCAAAAAAGTTACTGGCCAATTAAACCAAATAACTTTGAAAACTATATAAAAATAGACTGTAACGTTAAAAATTCAGCTTTTCTGCATAAAACACCCCTCGAATCCTGTCTGTTCCTATTACACCGAGGCTGTGCTGGGCTGTCCAGGGGCTGCAGTGCTCCCTCCCAGCGTTGCAGCTCCCCAGGGAGTCTCTCAGTCCTCTCTCAGCCTGGGCAGTTGTCCGGTTTATCTCGGCTGTTTGAGGGGCCTGGAAGGCCCGGGGTGGCCTTGGGGCAGCCCGCGTATCGAAGGACGAGAAGAGGCTTCAGTTCTTCTTTCTGGTTTTTATGTTTATTAATTGTTTATCTAAAAGATGTTCTTTCAGCCGAACAGAGATCTGCTCAGCAGCCAGCCATGAGCACACTGTGCCGTCCCACGGACCGCCACGTATCTTTATACCCCTTGCTACGTATACAATATTTATCATTTTTCCCCAATACCATCTATTCTTATAACTCGGTGTACTCTTAGTAATAACCAATCCAAAGGTGCCACCGTGGCCAAAGAAGATGGAGGAGAGGAGGAAGAAGAAGGAGGGCAGGACACACCCCAATTCCTCCATCTTACTCCTCTAAACCCCCCTGTACATAAATCCTAAACCCTGTTTCTCACCCTCTAATTAGCTAATCTTTCCACCCTTCACCCCGGTGAGGCCCTCTTATCTTCATAAAGGTGTCGTCTCCCGTGTAGGGTCAAAGTCCTGCCACCAGACACTTCTGGCAACATTCCAGGACTCCCGGGCCCCCCAAGGGTGGTCTTGGGGGCCCTGCATCCCAGGACTCAGATCCTGAGATCCCACAGGCAGTGACCTCTCTTCTTGAAGAACCACGTGGTGGGATCATTGGGGTGTCCTTGGATGGTCCTTGTGGGCCCAGCCTTGGACCTTGGATGGTCCTTGTGGGTCCAGCTCGGGGTGTTCCTGGTTCTGTGGTTCAAACTGGCCAGAGCTGAGCAGGTCTGGACTGAGGATAATTCACATCTTGATTCTGATGGATAATTCACAGTTTGGTTTCACGAGTGGTTAATGCTCAGCACACAAGAGGAGGGTTTGCAGTGATGTTCGTTTCTGGGCACGGCCCTCAGAGGGGTCTGGTGGGATTGCAGACCTGCAGGAGTTGTCTCAGAATCCCTGGTGACACAGTGTCTGTCACGATGCATGCACACAGAGATCAATAACCCTCTGTTTTCCAGCAGCTGGATGCACTGGTGACCAACGAGTCCGTGTGGTTTTTGGCAGTGGTTTCTGTGTTGTGTCTCATTGTGCAGAAGCATCGCAGCCGTTTGGATTGACAGAGTCATCCAAAATGTTATGAATCCACATCTCCTGGTGAATTCATAGCTCTGAAACTGCTCTGCTGGGCCACGTCACTCCTCCTCCTCCTCCTCCTCCTCCTCCTCCTGATTTCCTGTTTTATCACATTTCCTTTTCCCTTCCTTTCTCGGGGGGCTGATGCATGTTCCTGGTGTCTGCTTGGGTCTCAGCTCTGTGCTCACTTGTCCAGGACTGCAGCACATCCTGTGCTGGGGGAGTCACACCAGTTGAGGTCAGCACTCAAGCATGGCTGGAGTCAGCCTTTGCCTCAGCTCCTCACTCTGTTCCACTCTGACAAGTGATAGAACATGATTTAGTACTTTGATTTACCACTCCAGTGCAGGCAGAAAATCACTTTGAGTGCACCTAAATTTTAGGCCAAAGCCACCTGTGTGTTTGTGTTTAGCGCTGTACAACTCAACATCACAAGAACTGAGTGCTTGCTTCATGGTAATTAAATAATTAGTTCACGGTTTTGGGGCAGCCGAGGTATCTGTGCTCTGGGACACACAGGAAGCAGTTCCTTGCTGTAGATTTCTGTTTTGTTTTGGGGTTGGGCTTTTTGTTTGTTTTCTGCAATTGAAAGGGCCCCATTTAGAGCCCAGACAAAAGCATTTTCTGCTGTGGCCTTGGCACAGTTGTTTCCTGCGTTTTCTTTGTTCCTGGCACTTTGCAGTTTGACAACAACCCTGACCCTTCACTTTCCAGTTCAGAATGACCAGAGTTAGGCAAAACAGCATCTGATATACTATGGAATGTGAACAGAAAAGCAATGAGAGTTAAGTTCTAGGCTTGGAGACCCCAGGGGAAGGATGTTGTCTGAGGAGGTGAATCAAACAGGGGTGAGTGTGTTCCCACCAACAATTCTGCTGCTTTAACCTCTGGTTTGGCCGATGTGGAAAACAGATCTTCCTGTGAAAGCCTGTGCTGTTGATATGTGATTGGAAAGAGCATGTTCAGTGCCATGTGCTTTTCCCTAAGCAGCTAGATTTTCTTTCTGCTTCCACACAGACACGTCTTCCGCCTCCGAGGACGAGGGCTCGCTCAGGCGCCAAGCTGCTCTCTCTGCTGCATTGCACCAGAGCTTACAGAATGCTGAGTCTTGGATCAACCGATCTGTTCAGGGGTCATCCACATCCTCATCAGCATCCTCTACACTTTCCCATGGAGAAGGCAAAGGGACCAGTGGGTCACTAGCTGATGTATTTGCCAATACTCGAATAGGTAGGAGCTGGCTACCAACAGAACAATCGCTTCGATTGTGCAGACTGTGTTGATAAAGGTGGAGTTGTCCCTTGCAGAAGGGAAATTCAGAGCAAGGGCTTAGCTGGTGTTGATGGAACTTGCCAGGATTGGTTGGAGTTGCACCTTCGTGTTGTTGTTTTCCTGAAGAATTTCAGAGGATTGAGGTGGTTGTAAAAGGGCGAGTGGGGAGCAGGAGCTTCTGGAAGCAGGGAGGACTCCAGGGACAGTGTGGACAGAGCAGGAGGCACAGCTCTGTGTCCTGTGTTGCTTTGTGTCTCCAGCTCTTGGGAGCTGCCGTGGGTACAGAGCTGCCCAGTGCAAGTGGCATTTTCATCTGTGTCCTGACGAATCCCTCGGGGTGTCTGTGCCTGTGGAGTGGGGAAATGCTGTGTTTGACATCCTCATTTTGCTCTGAGCCCCCGTGGTTTATTGTTTGCATTAGATCAGGAAAGAAAAGGAACCAGATCCAGCTCTGTGTGTGAACAAATGAGCCTGCCATTAAAAAACAGGGTTGAGGAGTAAAGCTTTAGCCCAGCTCTTTGTGGCTGTCTGAGGAATGACCAGAGCATCCAGGTACTGAGGAGATGGAGCAAAATCTACAGATCTGGATACCCCGGGCTCAGTTTTCTGAGGCTCTGAGGTGCTCCTTGCTGCTGATGCTTCTGTATGAAATGGCCAAGTTTGTTTTTGCTCTGTGTATGTTTGTCCTTTTTAGCTGCTGGTGAGGAAATTCCTGCACCGTAGGACATTGTCTGTATTTCATGTGCTCTCTGCTTCTGCTTAACTGGGTTGGGGCAAGCAGTGCTTAGAAGTGCTGGTGATTTTATCTTTCACTTATTTATCTTTTTATTGCTGTTATTTTTGTTTGTTTATTTGCTGGGATGCAAATTGTTTCCTGAAATGGAAAACTGAGGAGATTGCCCATAAAATGTAGTCAATATAATTAATGTCTTTGAAGCAGAGAGGCTGTTTTTAATTGGAGCATGCAGAAGGCCACATTACCTTTTGCAATGAATTAAGGTAACACAGCTTTTTACCTCCAGAATATCTGCTGTCTAATCTAATTAGTGTCTCATGCAAAATAGAAGCCTTGAATCTTTGTCAGGATTCTATTTGCCACATTCATACCTTGTTAACACCTGGTTTAAATGAATAGAGCTCTCACACACACAATTCTGTACATCTCTCTCTTGAGAGCAATTAAAAGTCCTGCAGATGTTTGGATTGTACAAATCCATGTCCTTTCCAGTGATTTTAGAAATTCAGTGCATGAGAAATATTCCTTGCCACTGTGTCTCCAAAGGGATGCAGAAATGAGGGGTTTTTTCTCCTTAGAAAAAGGGAAATCGACACAGAATCAATCACAAAACCCTGTGAGTGGGAATTATTTGGGATTTGACTTCAGACTATCTGCAAAACCCAACCCATAGTTTCAGATTGTTGGTTTTTTCCTTTGTAAGCAGCAGCTGCTGGTGCTGTTAAGCCAGAGTAGAATATTCTTGCCCTATCAGATGACTGAACCTGCTGGGTTGTGTAAAGAAACCCCACATTTGCAAAATCCCTTATTTAATAAGAGACAATTCACAGGAGAGTTCCTGCAGGGTGCAGTTGCAGCCTTGGCTGGGAGGCAGGACAGTGTCTTGCAATTTGGAGCAGAAGTAAGACCCAGCTCACACCATTCACTGGATTTACTCTGGGGCTGCTGGACAAGCTCTGTAAGCACCCAGCTGGAAGGGATTGAAACCCAACGCGATTTTTGCTGATCTGCTTTGGTCAAATTCCCACATGTTTTGTTTTCAAAAGCCCTCACTCACAAAAAAAAGCTAAATAGTAGAATTCTAGCAAGAGAGATCAGTGCATAGGTGAGGGAGGGATTTGTTCTGGACTTTGGATGTTTCAGAGCTCATGTGAATCACAAACCCTTAAAAAATAATTATTTTTTTTTACAGTACTGAATGTCAAGAGATTGAGCTTCAAGGTTAGAAACCAAGAACAGGAATTCTGTTTTGCTGAAGCACTTTCCTGACATGGATAAAACCTTGTGGTTTTTGGTTTCCAGAGCAGATGCTGTGCCTCTCCTAGAGCTGCTGAACCCTTAGGAATCAGTGTGTTTAGCTTTAATGAGGTTCCCATACATCCAACCATTCAATCCTTAGGATTATTGGGAACAGGTGACTGACACTGTGTTAATAAAAGGTGTATTTAGCGGCTTTCTTCTTTTTCTAGAAAGTTTCTCAGTCCCTCCAGATGTCACAGCAACTACCTCCACGCCCTCGCCACGGCCCGCAGCCATCGACCTGCCTCCCTCGGGGATTGTGAAGGGGATGCACAAGGGATCCAACCGCTCCAGCCTCATGGACACTGCAGATGGTACGGAGCCCTCGGGGCACCCAGGGGTGCCAGCAGGGTCCAGAGAGGCCTCAAATCACATCAGTTGTTCTCCCAGCTCCGGGTGATGTCAGAATTCACAGAATGACCAGGTTGGAAGAGACTTTCAAATCATCGAGGCCAGCCCAGCCCCAATCTCAGCTGAACCCTGGCCCCCAGTGCCAATCCAGGCTTTGTTGAACACACCCAGGGATGGGGACTCCACCACCTCCCTGGGCAGCCATTCCAGAACTTTATCATTTTTCTGTAAAAACTTTTCCCTAATATCCAACCTGTATTTCCTTTGGTGCAGCTTGAGGCCGTGCCCTCTGGTTCTGTCAGTTCCTGGAGAAAGAGCCCAGCCCCACCTGAGCAAAGCCACCTTTCAGGGAGCTGCACAGAGTGATAAGGTCACCCCTGAGTCTCCTTTTCTCCAGGCTAAACCCTCCCAGCTCCCTCAGTCATTCCTGAGTCGTTATTTCATTTAAGCTCTTCACAAAATCAGAATGGTTTTGGTTTTGCATTGAGGTGTTACTGTGCTGCAGTTGTGGTGTTGGCATTGGGGAATTTCCTCATGGATGGGGTGGTCAGGCTGGGGAAGTGCCCAGGGAGGTGGTGGAGCCCCAAACCCCTGCTGGACATGGCACTCATTGCTCTGCTCTTTCCCTCCAGGTGTTCCTGTGAGCAGCAGAGTCTCCACAAAAATTCAGCAGTTGCTGAACACCTTGAAAAGACCTAAAAGACCACCCCTGAAAGAGTTCTTTGTGGATGATTTTGAAGAAATTGTGGAAGGTAATAGCACAAATAGTGATTTTATGCACATTTTTTACAACTGGGTACTCTGGGAGCTGAGCTCTTTTTGTGTTGTTCTCAAGGCTGACTCAGATTCACTGTTTGCAGCAGCCTCCATGACCAATCTGACACAAAACCAGTGTTTGAAATAATTCACTGTTCTGCTGCGCTTTGGGGGACCTCCTCAACACTAAACTTCTTAAAAAAATATTTAAATAGATTTTAAAACCCCTTTCATTAACTACTTTTTTTCATTTCCCAAAGGGGATTGTCCTCACTGGTGATTTTATTGCAGCATTATTTTGTAAGGTTTTCCTTTCTGCAGTTCTGTGTTCCTTTCCTTACTGATGTGTCGAACACCTTTGAACAACATCCTGTGAGAAGCCTCAGTTCATGATCTCTTGTTCTGTGCAAGACTTCCCAGGAAAAGGGATGGAATGGGTTTTTTAATGCTTTTCCTCATTCCTTTAGGTTTTTTTTGAGTTTATTTCAAGCTGAGCTATCAGGTGTCAAACGGGCAAGGATGGGGAATATTATTTCACTTGGATTATATTAGAAATACCAATAGATTCTGGAAATAACATTGAATTTTCTCAGTTCCCCAGCCCGACCCCAACCAGCCCAAGCCCGAGGGCCGCCAGATGACCCCGGTGAAGGGGGAGCCCCTGGGAGTGGTCTGTAATTGGCCTCCTGCCTTGGAAGCAGCTCTGCAGCGCTGGGGAACCACTCAGGCCAAGTGTCCCTGCCTGACAGCCCTGGATGTGACAGGAAAACCAGTTTATACCCTCACATATGGTGAGTTGGGCCTCCCCTGCTCAGCTGCTGCCTGTGGGGAGAGCACAGGGGATGTGAAAACCTTCCTGGTCTTTGCCAGGGTTGTGGACAGAGCAGTGGAGGTGTAGGTAATAAAAAAGCCGAGGTGGGAGCTGTTCTCTTGTCTGCTTGATGCAGAGCTCTGCACGTCTCTGTTCTCTGCCTTGCAGGCAAACTGTGGAGCAGAAGTCTCAAGCTGGCCTACACACTGCTTAATAAACTGGGGACCAAAAACGAGCCTGTGTTAAAACCTGGAGACAGGGTAAGGACTTTGGGACTCTCTGGAGTAAAAGCAGAGGTTTGGGGGCTGGAACTTTCCACTGACACCATAGTGAGACTCTGACCCCAGGACAAGGCTGCTTGGGACAGACACTGCTGTGATTTTTCAGGGGTCCTGGCTGCCCTGTGAGCAGCCTCTTGTGTCTTGGCTGTGTGTGAACCTTGGCATGCCTGGACACTGAGCTCCTCACAGCCACATTCCACACATTCCGTGTGAGGAAGAGTGTGAAACAACACCAGATTTTCCTAGCTTCAGTCACTCTAGATGTGGATTTTGAAATGTTGACTTGTGGCTTGCAGGTAGCCCTCGTGTATCCCAACAACGACCCCGTGATGTTCATGGTGGCGTTTTATGGCTGTCTCCTGGCTGAAGTGATCCCAGTGCCTATAGAGGTACCTCTTACCAGAAAGGTAACGTTGATGGAACTTGGAGCAGTGATTGGGATGGAAACCAAGCCAGGCCAGAGCCTCTGACAGCATTTCAGCTGCTGCCTGAGCAGCTCTGTACCAACAAGGACTTTTGGGAGCTTGGCTTGGCATTTAAAAATGGAAAAACGTATTGATCAGAGCTGTGCTGAGCAGCTGGAGATGGTCAATTCTCCTAAATGATGCAGTCTTCACTTCCTTACTGCAAATAATTTATACAGAACAGATTAGAGTGTGGATCTGCCCTGGGTTGATGGGAGGGGGCTCAGTCCAGCCTTGCTGAGCTCTGCCAGGCTCTGATTTTGCTGGACATGGAGGTGCTCAGTGCTCCTGAAGACATTGAGGCACTTTTTGTAAATTATTTACCCAACAAAGTGTTTTCTTTACCCTTACCAGAATTTTTGCACTGTTGCCATATTATTGCTGTGTCAAGAGCTGTGTGAAACTATGGGATTTCATAAGAGTTACAAAAACAGTGGGGTCATGGCAAACATTATGGCAGGAGAGGTGGCAGCTGAGCTGGGAGCTGGTCTGACAGGTGGCAGTGAGCTCAGGGAACACTCAGGGACTCACAGAGCTTTGATTTCATTCTCTGCTCTGTGGCAGACTGCTATAGCAACCAAATGCAAAATTAAAACTTCTCCAGTATTTGCCCAATCGGTTTCTGAGCGAGCCTCCTCATTTTATCATTGTGCAACAGAAATTGGCTCCAGGGGATGGAGAGGTCTCGTTATCCCAGTGTAATTACATGTTTTGCTTTTTTTGCCTCTCAGTTCCTCTTTGCAGCATCTGGGTTTCCTTTAATGCCAGGAGATGGGGTGAGCTCCATGCCTGGGTGCTGGGCAGGAGCTCCTGTGTCCCCTGCATTTCACATCCAGTGCATTTTAATCTTGCCAGGGCCATGTTTCATGGGGTCACAGCATGGTTTGAGTTGGAAGGGACCTTAGGGACCATCCAGTTCCATCCTTTACCAAGGGCAGGGACACCTCCCAGTAACCCAAATCGCTCCAGTTGTGATTCTGTGATCCTGTGTGGAAATTGGTTGTTTAATTCTTTTCCTTGCCATTCCTTCCCCCAGTCCCCAAAGCAATATCAAACCTTGGATTTTGATAAGGGAAAGCTGACTTTTTGTCATCTTTGAGGTGTGACTTTTGCCCTCTTCCCTCAGGATGCTGGTGGGCAGCAGATTGGGTTCCTGCTGGGGAGCTGTGGCATCGCTCTGGCCCTCACCACTGAAGTGTGTCTGAAAGGGCTCCCCAAAACCCAGAACGGAGAAATTGTGCAGTTTAAAGGTGAGTTGGTTACAGATTGGCTTTTGATTGTGCTTTTGCTGCAGCTGAACCATCTGAAAGGAGCTGTCAGGACTCTGAAGGCACTTGGGGGATAAAGGGGCAGCTCCTGATCCCATCAGCAAAATGTGTAGGATTTATTTGTGGTGTCTGACACAGCTGCTCTGCTCTTCTGGGGGTCACAGTGAGCCACCCCCCATCCAGGGTTGTGCTCAGTGGCATTTGGCAGCTTCCAAGGCAGTTTTATTCACAAGCTTTATTTAGGAATGCTGCAGGGATCTCCCCTGAGGAGAGGAAGTACCTGGTTTGCCCACTGAACTCCCTGATGAGAAATGAGATGAACCTTCTGGCTGGTAGCTGGGCTTGGCTTGGAATTTAGCTTGTGTAACTGAACTTGGACAAATGATGGGGTTTAGTGTATTCTTGCAGAATATAAATCCCTCAATAAATAAACTGATATTAATGTACCGTTTAATTTTGGCTCCAGGTTGGCCCAGACTCAAATGGGTTGTGACAGATTCAAAATATCTCTCCAAATCTCCCAAGGACTGGCAGCCCAACATCTCAGCAGCAGGAACTGAGCCAGCATATATTGAGGTAAGTGCTGAATGGGGAATAGAAAGTACCTTGTGTGAGCTGAATTTAATGTTCTAATCACCAGAGGGAGAATAGTTTCACCTCACTCCCTTCAGCTTCCCACTGAAACGAGCTTTTCACTGGGGACATCCTGCTGTGAAGCTCATTTTGGGTTTGAATCCCTCTGTGGCCTTGAGCCCTGCTTGGAATCAGTTGGAGAATTGGTTTTGTTCCCAAAAAGTGAGGGATGGAGGCAGCTGAGCTCTGAGGTGGTGCTTGATAACCCCGTTTCTGCCCCTGCTTGAGGCAGCAGCAGCAGCTGGGATTCTCTGCTCTTGCAGAAATGCTGATTTTTGTTCCTGTGCCAGAAGGTAACTTGTAGGGATTGTGTTGGTTTTCTCAGCTCTTATTGGGACAATTGAGAGGTGTTTTAAAAGATTTTATTCTGTTATCAGTCTTGATGAGTAGTGAGACACAGGAGATGTAAACCTCAATGCCATTCTATCAGAAGCTGACTTATTTTCTGGTTACAATACCTTATAAATTACAATAACCCTTTCAGCTTACTAGGTTTTCTACACAATGCTGCTGTTACTTTTAACATCAATCACCTCTATTTTTTCCTACCTGGTCCTGCTACAATGCATCTTTTCTCAGTTCTAATTCTCTAAAATTATGTAAGCTTTCTATCAAATTTTTAAAATTCTTTACAAATCCATTTCCCACAGGATTGCAGCAGTTTCAGTGGTGGTTCAGCCAGTCTGAAACACAGATTGGTTTTTCAGTTTGTTACAGGAGCAGGAAGAGATATCATGAGCAGCAATGACACTGAAATAAACACAAAAGGGGATGGAATGGGTTGTTAAATTCTTTTCCTCATTTCCTTTAGGTTTATTTTCAGCTTATTTCAAGCTGAAAGATGCATTTTTTCTCCCATTTCCATGGAGATTTTCCACGTGTGCCACCACAATAACCATCTCCTCGGGTCTAAGCTTTCACACAAGAGAGAAAACTTTATTTCCACCGTGGATTCTGTGATTTAACTTCCTTAATTTCTCTTTTTCTTGACTCACTTTGGCGTCTGTCCTGGCAGTACAAGACCAGCAAGGAGGGCAGTGTCATGGGTGTCACCGTGTCCCGGGTGGCCATGCTGGCTCACTGCCAGGCCTTGTCTCAGGCCTGCAACTACTCCGAAGGTGGGTGAGGCCACAAAACATCAAAGGCTGACAAAATCAAGGGGTTCCCTCTCATATCTTCAACAGCTGCCTCTGAGTAACCAACATTTGCTTCCAAAAATAAATAAAATTTAATTTTAATTAAATTAAATTAATTAGATTAATCCTTCCCCCCAAAAAGTGAAAATTAGCTGTGATGTTTTTCCATCCAAAATGGCATTATTTTCACTGCCATGATGAAGAGGAATAAAAAAGGGGGATTTATAGAATTTCTGTGAATTTACTGAGTCTGTTCTGATGAACCAAAAGAGGAACAAATGAATGAAAAATGGAGCATTTTCACCAAGCTGGAGTCCCCTCTCACCGCACTGGTGGCCCGTAGAAATGTAATTTCATTCATGTAATTTCACACTTTCATTGCTGATAGTGTGTAAATACCAAACTTGCTGGGGCTGGGGCTGTTCTGGTCCTGGGAGGTTTTTTGGGGAACCCAGAAATGGAAGTTGGAAGGGGCTGCTGCTATTCCAGAGGGTTTTGCTGTAGGATGTGGTTTATTCTGGTCTGCCTTGTAAATCAGGCTAATCCCTACATCCATGAGTGAAACTATTTATAGAGCTGTAGGTCACAGAGGTTTAAAATGCAGAGTTTGCCTTTAGAATCCATCACTTGAGCTAAAAGTGAGGGCTTGAGTGATGTTCCTGAGCTCCCCTGCTCATTCATAACGAGCTCCAGACCCTTCCTGTCCCACTGATGGACATCTCAGGCTGGAATGGGATTTCCAGCTGGCAGCTGGATTTCCAAATGTGATTTCCTTGCACTTTCTGGACGTGCTCCTGCTCAGGCATGGACGTGCAGTTGTGGGTGTGCTCAGTGACACGTGTGATCACACAGAGCCCCGGGCTGGCCCTGCAGCAGCTCGGGCAGGGCAGGGCTGTTCATCCCTGTGCACATTCCAGAGTGAGTGATGGCACAGCTGTGCTGGCACGTTGCACTGACAGCTTCACCTTTCTTTTCCCAGGTGAAACCATAGTGAATGTGCTGGATTTTAAGAAGGATGCAGGGCTGTGGCATGGCATTCTAACGGTGAGTTGGCTCCAGAGCTCTCTGGAATGAGAGATTCATGATTAGATGGGATATTAGGAAAAATTTCTTCCCTGTGAGGGTGAACAGGCCCTGGCAAAGGGTGCCCAGAGAAGCTGGGATCCCTGGAAGTGTCCAAGGCTGGGTTGGATGGGGCTTGGAGCACCCTGGGATAGTGGAAAGTGTCCCTGCCATGGCACTGGATGAGCTTTAAGGTCCCTCCCAAGCCAACCCATTCCAGAATTCCATGATTCTGTGATAACAGAGTCCATGGCTGGGGACTATTATCTGTTAAAAGAACCATTTCTCTCCCTGCCAAATCTCCTGGAGGAGCAACAGAATCATCCTGACTAAACCTCTGTGAACTCCTGGTGGGGTGGAACTTGATGGGCACTGAGGGTGACTCTTATTTCTAATAACTCAATGAGAGGTTTGGGATCCCTTTCCTAACAATCCCTTTCCTGTTTTTCAGAATGTAATGAACAAGCTGCACACTATCAGCGTGCCCTATTCTGTGATGAAAACCTGTCCTCTCTCATGGGTGCAGAGGGTTCACGCCCACAAAGGTAACCTGGGGGGAATCCACAATTTCAGCTTGGAATTCTCAGGATCCAAGAGTGAGGGGCATTAAAATCTCAAATGCCTTCAACCCTTCTTGCTCCTCCATGGCAAATCTCAAGGGCCAAGAGTTTCACTAATGTCCAAAGGTAGTTGATTTTTATTTTGCAGTATTAGATATGATTTTCTAGATCTTCAGGCAGGGCTGGAGCTCATGTTTGGAAGATTTTAAGCCCCCAGTCATGTGGATACTTGTAAAACTCCTTGCATTGGTGACTTGCCAGAGGTTGGAACAGAAATGTGACAGCTTGGGAGGACAGGGGACTTTGCCATTTATGCCATGTCAGTGGTGGGGAGCACGATGGGGATCTTGTGACTTGGAGCCAGTTTCTTTTATGAAACCAAGGAAATGGCAGAGTGCAGCAGGAGCCCTTGGTCCCTGGCCTCCCTGAGGGCTTCCAGAGGGTGATAATGATTTATGGCCTTGGGAGGAGGAGCTGGGATGATGACAGACCCTGGCTCAGGTGGTGGCAGTGCCACAGCAGATGCCACTGTGTGTCGGCTTTGCTGTTACTGCAGCCTCAGTTATTTAAGACCATGTGAGTTCTATGAAAATAACTCTTGGAAAGCTTTGATTTGCCCTGAGGTGATGTTTTTGTGTTGTTTGCAGCAAAAGTTGCTCTGGTGAAGTGTCGAGACTTGCACTGGGCCATGATGGCCCACCGGGACCAAAGAGACGTGAGCCTGAGCTCGCTGCGGATGCTGATCGT